GTAGTCTGATCTCCAAATTTAGATTTCTGCACGTTAGGAGTGGCTTCAATCGTATAAATGATGATCTGGCAATCTCTATTCGTCTGTTTATTTCTACAGTATGATCATTGGTTTCATTGATCAAAGTTCCCAAATACTGAAATTTTTCTACTTGTTCTATCACGTTACCATTTATTGTCAATAGGTGATGTATATTTTGTGGCCTTTTTGTAATCAGCATATACTTCGTTTTTTTAGCGTTTATAGTAATTCCCATCTCAGCACTATTTATACTCAAGCTTTCGATAAGATGTTGTAGATCCTCTATACTCGTTGCTATGATCATAGTGTCGTCTGCATATCTTAAATTATTAATTAATTTTCCGTTAACGGTGACTCCCGCTTCGATATTATTGAGCGTGTTTTGGAAAATTTCTTCAGAATATAAGTTAAACAAAAGTGGTGATAACACACATCCCTGTATAACTCCTCTACAGATCCTCATTTCTTCTGAGTGTTGCCCATCAATTTGAACTATGGCACTTTGGTTCTAATATAATGTTTGCACTATATTTATGATTTTACTGTCAATGCGCTTGTTCATAAGTATTGATATTAGTATTGATATTAGTTTGTTAGTTGTGATAGTTGTTTGTTATTGATGAAATATTAATAAATATTTTTGGTTTCTCATTTATTAATATTTTTCCACAAGATATCGTAAACCTGAGATATGAGCCCCTTTCCCCTTTCAATATCAGTTGGCCTACGTATGGAATTTGCAGTTTAAGTAATAAACAAATTATAAATAATAAATAATAAACAAATTATACTCTGCATGCAAGTATGTAAAAATATTACTCTTATGTTTCTTTTTTCGACAATAAAAAAAATTTCACTAAACCCTGGCTATGCATTCACTTATGTCAATATACGATGATTTTTTCATTAATACGATAAATGCAGAGGTGGCTATGGAAAAATGACATCAAAACTATAATATTATCAGTTAATGTCAAATGTATTTTGTAGTACTGTAGTGCCGTTTGTGGCACTGCAAATTCGGCGGAATTTTAAGTGGTTAAAAAACTATATTTTAGGCAGAAATTAAGAAATTCTGTATTATTTATCATTTTTTTCAATCAAAATAATAAAACACCTATATTTCAATCAATCCGAAGTAGTTCAGTAGAAACTCTATTAATCTATTAAAATGACTTTTTATTGCCAATTAAAAATTTATTATGTTCCGATTGCTAACGTTCTTACAGGAAATTTTTAAAATCGCTCTCATTGTGACGTAATGCGCGAACTCGTCCCAATTTTGCACTCGGGAATATCATACCTGTTATTCTTTGTACCATGGACCATGGCATACCACTTCTGAAATGGGTTTCTAACAGCCCCGATAGAGACTTTGTGGCGCGAAATGAAAAAAGTTTTGAGAAAATATCCTGCCAGGCCCGTCAACGAATTGAAAGAAAAATTGCGGGAAATATGGGATTCGTTTACATTAGAATTTTGTCAAAACTTAAAAACTAAATTGTCTAAAACTAAAGGTAAAAACTATGCCTCGAAGAATTGTGAATGTCACTAAAAATAAAGGGGATGTAACTCAGTGGTAAACTTTCACATTTTTTTTTGTTAATATTGCATATTCTATGCGTTTTTTTAAATTTATTATTATTTTGTTTAATCAATAGTTTTCATCACGTTATAAAATATTTTCTATAATCATGAAATTCAAAATTGTTGTTCGATGCATTAAAACTTCTAAAAATTACGCTATGCTTTTATTTTTGTTATCTTAAATTTAATTTTCTTATAAATCTAACGTTTATCCAACTGATATGGGAAGGGACTCGTATATTGCTAACAAAAAGCACTTGAACAAAAAGAAAAAAAAAAGAGAGAAAACTACTATTATTATTACTATAAAATTAAATCCTTAGACAAATAATTTAAAACATAAATATCAGGCTCTATACTCTATAACATTTAAGACACCGTAATGCAATCTAACTTAATGCCCTACCTAGTAACAAATGATAATGAAAGTGACTTCGAACCATCTCTGTCCATAAATAGTCAATACTAAAGGTGTGTCCAAATCACGAAGATTACCTAGTAGTGCCTCGGGAAACAAAAATATTTTTGTGTACTTTTGTCTTTCGGTTCGTTTCCCTTCTACCGTAAAGTTCACGGACTTTAAGTATCGTCTTTCGTAATAATTTGTGTGAATTCACTGAAATCGTTGAATGCCACAAAATTCTTTAATAACTACAAATGCGCAATCGTGATGGGATAGGACGAAAAGGTGTTAATTCAAAACGTGAAAAAAGGTGTGCGTGTTTCTGTACGTGCTGCCTTGACATTAACAATAATTTTGAAATCAATGTCACAATATATAATTTATCTGTAATACAGATGATGAGCATGTATATAACATCCTGGTATTTGTCAGATATAACCAATCTCTTTCTAATATATAACATGAAAAAAATATTTTATAATTATTGCGTGACTAGAACTAAGGTTAAATAGGAATATTTTATTGGTGTGTAATAATTCCAGCGCTGGAAACTGAACCCTGTACAGCAGATATAGAATAAAGTATAAATATATCCAAATGGCATTTTCAGGAATCAGATTCTATCCCAGTTAGAATATATTCCGATGCAGATATAAAAGCGGATCACAATCCACTGGTGAGCAAATCTCGTGTTAAACTGAAAATAATTAAAAGAACTGAAAGAGGACAATCAGAAAGGTCCTTATTTTAAAACAAAATATTAGAAAAGATTACAGATAAACCACTGGTTCAATGAAGAATGCAGAACAGAGTTAAAAAAGAGATCAGATTTGAGATTAAAAAGTTTACGATCGGAAAAATAAGACGACCTAGAAAAGTATGGCCAATAACGAAAAAAAGTAAAGAGAATCCTAAGGGAGCGGAAACGAAAGTATATGGATGATAAAATTAGGCCCATTGAAGAAAATTAGAAAAAAAATGAAATAAACATTTTTTATAAAGAAGTAAAATACATTAAAACTGGGTACCAGCGAAGAACGATAAACGTAAAAGATAAGCAAGGAAACCTGATATAGTGGCCGAAGACCAAATATGTGAAAGGTGGAAAGAATATTTCGAAGAGATGGTAAATGAAGAAGTGACTACTGAAGAAAATTGTTATGTTTCTAAACCTCAAATAGTAATAGAAGAAATACCAAAGCCCTCAAGAGAAGAAATTGAAGAAATAATAAAAGATATGAAAAATCAAAAAGCCCAGGGGAGAGCGGCAATGTGGCAGAGAATATGAGAATATGAGAATATGAGAATATATGAAGGAGAGGCCTTAATAAATAAACTTGGTGAGCTAATATAATTAAGAGCCAAAGATATAACTCGTAATACAAAAATAAGAGTATACAAAACTATAATTAGACCCACAATGCTATACGCTGCCGAGACATGGACTATGAACAAAACCAAACAGAATACATTGGAAGCATGGGAAAGAAAGATACTTCGTAGAAAATTTGGTGGAAAATTAGTAGAGGGAGAATGGAGAAGACAAACTAATGCAGAAGTGTATCATTTGTATGCTAACCCTACAATAACAAAAGTGGTGAAAAAACGTAGACTAGAATGGCTCGGTCATCTAGAAAGAATGCGTAGGTGATAGACTAGTCAAGAATATTGCTTGGAGAGTACCTGATGGTAAAATAAAGAGAGGAAGACCAAAAAAGAAATGGAGAGATGGGAATCAGAGATTGGAAGCTGTTAGCTAAGAATAGAAAACGATCGAAATTATCCATTCAGCGATGGGCCTAAAAGGCCTGTTAAAGCTGTACATACATACATACAGATAAACAGCAAATATAAAAATGGAGAAGGAAGACCCGAATATCATCGGAGTATACGGCTCAAAAAATAACAAGCCTTAAACAACAAGCGAAGCAATAATGAGATAGATTCGTTATATTTTTAGATAGCAAAAGTGCTCTAACTAAATTGGAGAAGTGGACAGAACATTACAATCATATAATTATAGAAATAATTAAAAACTTTATTGGGCTCAAATCCAAAGGTAAAGAAATATCATTCTGTTGGATGAAAGGCCATTGCAATTAAAAAAAAATGAAATTGTAGACAACCTACTCCGTACCAAAGAGTGCTACAGAATTAGATACTAACTATGAATATGAGTTCATACTAAATTCCTATGCGTATATTAATATTAATAAAATCAACAACTGAAAAGAATATTATATCAATTCCAAAAAGGGACTGTATTATAAAACTATCCAAACAGAGATCACATCTAAAAGCTGGTTTAGTGACTATCAACACAAGACGGTTCTTATATATTATTATATCATATATATGTAGACTTTTGAGGTTTGGTCACTCTTTAGTTCCACAACATAAATATAAAATAGGACTGTCAGACACAACTTTTGTGAATGTAGAGAATTATGATCCGCAGAACATATGATATTAGATTGTAAATTAAAAAAAAAAAGAAATAGATTATTTTATAGATCAAATTTATATTACACACTATATAAGACTTTTGTCTTATATATTGTTAAACAGAATTAAAAAAAAAAAAAATTAAAAACGAACAAAGAGGACCTAAAACTCTGAGGTGTTGAACCGTGTTTATGCCCTAGCGCTGCTCTTAATTAATGCAGCAACAGCTCCAACATCACTTGAAGAGAAAAAATTAACTAACACTAACATATCAAACAGGCATACAACCACTATAAACGAATCAGACTGAAACGAATATTTTTTTGATGATAATGATACTTTTTAGATATTTGTATTTGATACCTTCCTTATAATAATTCCCTTTTTTACATTCTATAATAATGATAGACATTATCCTATAATGATTAATAAAATATTAATAGATTTGGGATTCTATCAATACTTTTGTGAATATTGATTTATAAGTAGTTTGCATCATATCGTGGAAAGTATGCCATGATGTGTAATAAAAGAATATACTTACATGTTGGGACTGGAGGACATGGAGGATCTGCACAAGCTAGCTCTTCAAGATGACATTCCAGTGCGTTAGGACAGTTTATGCCATCACAAGGATCTCGACATCTACACAATGGGCAGCCGTCTTGTGTCAAAGCAAATCCGTGTGGACAGAACATTCTACAGGTGTGATCAGCACATGGTTTGGGAGCTGAAACAAAAGTTAATTTGTGTATTCGAAATATTTGGATAATAAAATTTGAAATAAAAACTAAAACACAAATCGTGGCTACAAGAAGCCCTTTCCGAAAGTGAATTAATAAATAAAATCTTACAAAAGTGATCTATAATACCTGCTGCTGCTAAATATATCAAGCAGTGACAAAAATACAAACACCCACAATAACTTAGAAACTGCTCTAAAAGAAAATACCAAATTATAATGGATAACCAAAAACCATTTGTTTATCTTGGGTACTGTCAAATCTTTCATAAAATCTAAATTTACCTATTAAATATGGAAGTACAAAATTACTGTTAAATTTGTTACTGGACAACCAACATACTGGCTAGCAGATAACAACAAAATTCCAGATCTAGAGTTTGCAATATATAAATTTTTAACTAATACGCATTAAAAAATAGAGCCTAGTTTTGACCTAAGTTCGGACCATAGCGCCAGAATAATAACATTAAGCACTACTATAATATACAATCAACAGCCATTAAGACTATCTAATAAAAAAAAACAAACTGGGAACAATTTGAATCCATCATTAACCAGAATATAAAGTTAGATCACCAAATAAAAGAATCTGGTGAACGGAAATAAGCAGTACAAAAGCTAACAGCTGTAATACCTAACGCTACTTGGGAATCTACTCTTATAAATAAAAGTGGTAGTCCTGAAGACAACAATGTGCCATTACATATCAAAGAAATTCTAACCAAAAAAAGGAGAGTGTGTTCAAAATGGTAACGGTCCCGAAATTCACTCGATAAGACACAACTAAATAGACTAACATACCAACTAACGTCAGCTAAATCAAGCTCGTAATAAAACCTTCAATTTCTATATTAACAATCCCTTTCCAGATGACCACTCTAGATGGAGAGCAACTAAAAAACTTAATAAACCAACAATACCAATTCCTTTAATATGAAAACTTGGTAGCAGTTGGGCACAGATATAATGAAAATCATTATCTATGTAACCGCCATTTTGACAGAAACAACTTTTAGAAACAATTTTCTACAGTTCACATGCAGTTCATGTTGGAGGCATTCTTTAACGTTAGGTTCTTTAAGTTTTCTTGTGTCTTATAAGATCAGAAAGAGAGAATTATTAGATCAGAAAGAGCTAAAAAACGAAAACATAAAAAGTTTTATGCAAATATTTAAAGCAAATGAGAAGATACATATAGATATTGAATAGATTAGAAGTCTAAAGATACTCATATTTATATATGTCATATATGTCATCCAAAATGTGACAATAATTTATTTAAAACTGTAATACTAATATTTAAGATAAACAGAAAATAAATGTCAACCTATATTTGTGTTTAAAATTCAGGTAGGTTGGTACGCTTTTCTAGGTTAAGCCAACAGTATGATTTCATATCTCATTTTTTAAAATATGCGTAATATTTATCCGATCGATTACAGATTAAACGAGATTGATTGCACGGCTAATTGCATTGGACCAATAAATAGTTCAGTTATGCGAGCTATTAATGACTATAATTTAATGTTTCATCTAATTATCGAAGGCGAAGAAAGGTGTTCATTTGGAAATAATATACCTTTAAAATGACTAGTTTTTGTTTTAAAGTAAGTACATGGTCAACGGGTTGGTACGAAGATATAAATTTTTTATTTTGTTTATGAATCTAGGTATCAATGTCACCCTAGTTCTTATTAAACATTCCTTGTCTAAACATCTTAACATAATATATACATACACTGCTTGAACAAATCAGAGAATAATTTTATATAACTTTTCTCTTTCTTTAACTATTTTTCTTATTTTTAATCATCAAGCTTCAACAAGTATTTATTATGGTAAAAATTGATTAGGATTTATTGATCAGGATTGATCAACATTAACATTAATTTTGAAAGATTTGTATTGGCTTTTGATTTATTCGGTGGATCAGGGGATACATTGTAAGTTCCACTAGCAGTAACGTTTAATGCTGAATGATGTTTAAAATATATTACAGAGAAGCTATTTTATCAACGCTATCAGATAATTCAAATGTAATTAATTCATCAGATAGAACAGTAGCTATTCTTATAAATCTGCTTTCCTTCAAATTTATCACGATCCACTTATTGTCCTTTTTCCTCTTTATATTTTAATAATATCAGCAAAAATATGTAAAAACACCTCTTAAAATATAACTATTATCAAAAAAATATATTTTATTTGATCGATCTAGAAACAAAACCTCAACGAAAAAATTGTGGCATGACATCGTTAATAATGTGGCTTCTAGTAATGCAAAGCAACTAGCAAACAGACTTTCTGAAGCGAAATAATAATTCTTTAATATGCTAATTATATTATTTTAACTTAAAAACCGCTAACATCTGATTTGAAATGTGAAAGCAGAGTTCACTGGTCAGTTACCTGCCAACCAAAAATGCGTAGAGTTAATACAATTAATATGTGCGTTTTAAACGAAAGTCGAAGCTGGTAACTCACGTACACTTATAAAATATTGTTAGAGTTAATAAAATAAACGATTTGTTTTCACACTGTCGTACTGGAGAAAATTTTGTAAAATCATACGCAAGAAGAGAGCGTGACCCAAACAACACCATTACTTGACTACTAAGTTACATGAAATAATAATTTGATGTTTTGTTTGTCAAATTTTATTAGTTTTATATATATATATATATATATATATATATATATATATACATATATATATATATATATACATATATATATATATATATAATATATATATATATATATATACAGTGTAGGAAAAAGTTTATGGTCGGTATGGACCTTACGTGAGATGGAGTGAGAAACAGCTGTTTAGAAAGAGAGAGGTATATTAGGTCCGCCCTTTATATCGCCAAACATGCATGCCTGGAAATAATAAAAAAGGAGAAGTTCAACGTTGCCAAACTTATTGGTTTTATTTGACCTGTTGTCTTTTTTGCATTTGAACAATGTTCTAAGATAATCAAATTTGGGCGAAATTGATTTAAATGGCAGCTTACTGTTTTTTTTATTGGGAATATGCCACAAGTTTACTTTACAATAAGTGTAATATAACATTTTGATTTCCACGGTAATCGTTATATATAAATAAAATTTATTAATGTTTCGTATTTTAAGTACAATTTCCGAATTAAAAATCTAAACATCAAAATACGCTTATTTTAAAGTCACATTGTGCCTTCTTCCCAATATGAAATAATAAACTGCATACAATAACGCCACATTAAAAAATATTCATACACAATAATTATTTGACATCGTCGGTCTGGTCAAAACGAGTAACGAGTAGTAGAGGTGGGTCGTGGTAGTTTTATCGTTAAGAACGTAGGCACAAAATTTCGGGCCAATATTTTTTAAATGCATTCATTTTTTTCGAATCCTGAGAAAACTAATAAATATTTTTGAAAAATTTAAACGCAGAATAAAACAATACATTATTACCGAGGGCCGAAAGTCCCTGACAACTTCTATAATGTTTATTTTAATAAGTTATAGGGGTGAAAAAAAAATTTAGTGTGATTTTTAATTTCAAATATCTCATTCAAAAAACTTTTTGTTTTTTCTAAGGGACTTTCGGTCCTCGGTAATAATGTAATCTTTCATTTTGCATTTAAATTTTTTAAAAATATTTGTTAGTTTTCTCAGGATTCCAAAAAAAAAATGAATGCATTTAAAAATTTAAATTTTCGTAAACAAGTAACTATGATTGTTTAAAAGTAGTTTCAAGTAAAAGAGTACCTACATAAACAAACATAATGGCTATTATCGTTTATGTGTATATTTATTGAAGTGAAAGAAACTAATGATATATTTATTATACCTTGAAAAATAAACTAAATAATACAAATAGTAAATCGTACTTACATTTACATTGCACGTTATTATTAAATCGTGAATAGTCTAAATTAACATTAAAAAACATAAGTTTTTCTACTTTACTTCTTATTAACCGTGTTCTTTTTTTATTTCAAATTAAACTAGATTTTGAACATGTGTTCACATTGACAATACTTTATGAATATAGTGGTTAAGTTAGGATATACATGGCGATGGTTTTTCCACCGTTGTGATGGACTCTCGATACAGATGTACGTGTAGATGAGTCATCTCCAATTAATTGATCAAAAATACACCATGGACTTAAGTTATCTTTATTGGTTTCTTTTTCTTGTACTGGTTGATTGACTAGTGTCCATCGTAGAGTACTAGGGACGAGAATCGAAAAAATACTAAACTCGAATACTATGGTTCAAGTCCATAGCTAGCGAGCAATAGGATATTTGTAGACGCTCTAGGACCAGAAGGATTCGCTTCACGCAATGGTTGGATCGATGATAAATGTGAAATTATCACTTAAAGCAAAAATAATGCAATAACAACTTAGTTGCTATCAACAAGTCCTTAGAGACACTTCGACTAAGGGCTAGCAACCCAGTGGAGTAATACGTTGCCAAGAAGTTCATTTCGTTTATATCTAAAACATTTTAGTTTTTTATCATCAATAATGAAATTTCAAATTAATTTAACTATATTTAGAGGGATTTTACCCATGTATTTAGTGGCTTCAAACCTGTAAACCTAGATAGCACTGATAATGAAATAGATGTGTAGGGACAAAACTGACAAAACTCTTCTTAGAAAGGATTAAAGTTTCCAATCAACATAAAATTTCTCAAGGTCAATTATTTTAATAAAGATTTTCATTTTTGTCTGTTTAAATCTTTAAGCGTAATATGCAGAATTGTTATTTTTGTACTAATAGCGACAAGAAGCAATATTAAACATGTCAATTAAAATGGCCCAAAGGTCTAATATTAGACCTATAATATTATTTACAGTCCTAGACTGTAGCAGTAAATGTACATGACGCTCTTTTATGAACACTCCATTAGAACCGTTCGGAGTATAATTAATCAACCATGACCGGAGTTGGAGAAATAATCATTTATAGACTTTTGGAAAGACAAGGAAGGCAACCAAAGAACTATTACAGACAACATCGCAGCACCGAAAACTTTAACATGAAAAAGACAAGTCGGTTTTAAAATCTGTGTAATTTAGAACTGACATAATTACAAATTATTTATTTAGATTTTAAGTTAATTACTATTTAACTGGGAATAAGCCAAAATTAAATGTTAAAGTACGTTTATTGACGTTTCAATTTCTTCAATCTCTGTTGACTTACTAATACTGGTATTTTCTTATTAATAACTTCCTCTTTCAATATGGGTAACCAGATCCTACTACATTCTGCTGAGGAATTTGCGACACAATCGGTCTCATTTAGCATAATTAGAGCCACTTCTTTGATTTTTCTTTTTTACCATCCGTTTCTTTTAGGACTACATTTGAATTATTCCATTGAACCCTATGTTCATTATTCATTCATCATTTGAGATCTATAAAATTCTCTATTTTTAATATAATATTGATGTTCAATTATTCTTACATTTAATGGCCTTGATGTTTCACCTAAATAAAACTGATTGCATTCACAAGGTATTTTATAAGGCAATTCTTTGTCATTTCTTGTTTATTGTAAGGTTTGGTTTTGGACAAAATAGTTCTCAACGTGTTTGTTGTTTTAAATGTTGTTGAAATGTTGAATTTATTTCCTATCCTTTTAAGTTTTTCTGATAATCCTTTTATGTACGGTATTGTTATTTTCCTCGAAAATAAAATAAAATAAAATAATAAATAAAATAGCTTCAGAACAATATTAGTTTTTAAGATTGCACAAGAACTTGATACTCTATAAAATTAAGTAAAAGTTTGGAACGTGTTTGTAGTCACTTCCCAAATTAACAAGAATCACTTTCTTCATGAACTCGAAAATTAATTCAACGACGTATTGCACATTCAAGCTGTTTAATTTCACCGTTGTCTGTAATAATGAAATGAATAAAGTGTCTAGAAAATAGTAAGAATTCTGTAGAAGTTAAAGCGAACGTCCTGTTAAGGAATAATAATGGTTCGAGTGGAATTTGAAGAAACGTGTTGAAATGAGTTGATTGACTTAAGTGAAAGTTAAATACCGTTTTGTTACTATCATCAATGGGAGAAATGGTCGATACGTTATCGGACAGCCGAAACTAATGAATGCATATTAATTAAACCATGTCTATATAAAAAGAAAATTCATTTTTTTTAATTTATGTTCAAGTTGAGTCGACGCACTCATATTAAAATTGTTGATAAATAGATCGGTCCCAATGACCTTTGTGGACTGTCATTATTCACCAACGCTTTTGTTCAATATCACACCCCATAAAGGGGTGGTAAAAAAGTATATCTGATCGTTTAAGTAAGATTAAAATAATAGATGAGTTGATTAAGTACAAGTACAGGTTTAATTATCCCAAAGCAGCAAACATACAAAAATAAAAATATTAAACTAAAAAAGAGATAAATTGAGAGTCTATGGATGTAAAACTCTTTAAAGGTGTTTATCAAAAAGTTCTGTTATATCTACTAGTCCTATTGTACAGCACGATGACTGATGAGCACTGGCTATTCCTCGAACTCAAAGCAAATCTGCTGTGGTCTTGAAACTTAGGTCAACGGCTCACTAGACTACTACAAAAGTCAGCAAACCCCTACACACAAATACTACAAGAACAAGCAGGATAAGGGCATAAGGGAGCAAATTCTCAATATAAGAAAAACACTTGACAAATAAAATGACGTTATCACTACATATATACAGATGATACAACCCCAATAACTACGTCCAAAGGAGAAATGACGAATCTACTACAAGCTAGTGGAAACCGAAAGCAATAGATGTGATCACAAGATCAATAAACAAAAAACAAAAATATCAATAATGAGTTCAATTATGTAGGATCTTACATTAGTAATTCAAGCTTTTGTGTAACCGAAACACGTAGGAGAATAGAAATACCTAAAAATGCTAGGAGTGATTACTAAAACTACGGAAAGAAAAACGCCACACTGAGATTGTTACGTACCTTAAATTTTTCTACTTTCAATTACGCAAGAGTTGCGGATTAAAAAAAAATCAAGAGGGGTTTAGAATTTACCAAAATAACACCTGTGCGAAAGATTTCTGCGGATGAGCTGTCACACCATCTCCTCAGGTCTTTCAGCCATGAGTTCTGGCGTCTTCCTACTGATCTTTTGCCCTGTACTTTTCCTTACAGTATAACTTGAAGTAATTCATAATGAAATGAAATAAAGAAAATTTTATTTATCAATGCACAAATACCCTGGATGTGTGGACAAGAAAATACCAAATGGAGCACAGTGACAGGTACACCAAGAGGAACACCTAAAATGAGTTTTTCTCATGGTTTACTTAACTTAATATTGATTATATTATTTATTGGTTATTTATTTCTGACAATCATTTTGGATCTATTTAGAAATTTCATAATAAGCAGATCCTACCACAATACCATATAGATAAATCAAAGCAAATTTCTCACACAGCTTGTATTTTATATTTCGTATAATATGTATTGTAAACGAAGAGTTTCTGTTGATTCTTAAAACTATAATTTACTGTAAATTACCGTTTATAAACATCTTCAATCGCTACAATTTAACAACGTCTTCTATAAGTGGACAGATATAGCCAGAAGAAAGCTGCGACAAAATTTATAGACATATAATTTCACTATCACAATTAAATAATATATAAATGAATAGCGTGCGACTGAAATGTGACCCAGTTGCATACGGAATTTCGAGGTGCTAATGTTGCAAACAGGGTCACTGGTCACGTAAAATCCGTCTACACAACGACGTTTTAAGAAAATAGTCTGCTATCACGAAAAGTTTATAACTATCGAGGTAGTTTCAGAAAATGGTTCAATAATAATTGGAAATGGTCTAGTTCGTCTTGAGAAGGCGAGTAGCCGTGACATATACGGGTAGTTGAAAGTATTTATTTTTTATGTTGTTTGTAGCAACTGTTCTAGAATTAAATTTATAAATAAATAATCATAATATAGCATTTGAAATGATTTTTATTGAATGCTGTTTAAGTCATACCACAATACGAACTGTTTTTTAGTAAAATAAACTTAATAATTTTTAATCGCGATTTGAGAAATAAAAATATTCTTGGTTCAAATCTAAAATGGACTAACGATATCAGTGTTAGAGTTCATACATGAGAAAATGGAAAAGGATTTTTCTAATGCGTAAAAAATACGTCTAAATGTTTTATGCAAACTACAAAAAGATGAACAAGACTTAAGAATAACGGAGAGAAAGATTAGAACCATACTGGGACCAATCAGAATAGGGCAGAATGAATATAGAAGTAGAATAAATGCAGATATGAAGGAAGAACTTAAAGCAATGAAGATTTAGATGGTTAGCTCACATTTGGCGAGTGACATACGCAATGATAGAATGGAATCCAGAAGGAAGAAAGAGAAGAGAAAGACCAAGATCAAAGTGGCTGCAAGAAGTTGAAGAAGACTTTCAAAAGGCAGGAGTCAGAGAATGGAGAGGAAAAACTAGAGACAGAAAAAATGGAGAGATATAGGTAAAAAAATAACATAAACAAAAGGGACTCATCCACCCAAGATATAGGATTTAAAATGCATTCACAGTTTAACCACACGCTGGCGTGTATAGCTATTATATAAAAGGCATAGCATTATTAGAATTAATCTATAAAATATTGACAAATTGAATTAAAATTCGAAAACACTCACCAGTGCAATTCACCAAAGCTGCGGCAGGAGCTCTCGTTCCAGCCAGTTCAAATCCAGCTTCGTCTACGCACCAACATGAACTGACTATTTCATTATCACATTGAATGGGCTCAAACCCTCCAATCTTGTTACATCTGGGCATACGTACTGATTTGGTTTCTATGCCTAAAGACTTCGCTCTTCTAGACGCAGCCATTCTAAGTGTCTGACAGCCTGAAAAATTCATCAGTTAATTAGTACTCATTTAGAATAATGCATAATTATTATTTTTTATTTTTAAAAACAAATATTATGACGAAATTTCATTGAGAATCGGTTGGAAATGTTAGTAAATATTGCTATGGTATTTTTTTTAAACATTGTAAAAATTAATCGAACTGTTGAGAAAGAATTAAAAATTTATAATTATAAAAGTGATTTAATATTTTTATTGCAAATAGCATTAAAATTTATTTAGATTAAATAATAAATAATATTGAAATACTAAATACGTTTTTCAAACTATCACCAAGACGTTTGTATACTTGGGTCTCTTCGCAAGATCAACCAGGAAACATAATAAGGAATCAAATTGATTACATAATGGTGAACAAAAGATTCCGTAATGGATGCCTTCTCTTTTATCTCTTCTAATGCTCTGGAGGGATTAGGAAATGCCGAAAGGTCTTAATCCCAATGAAAGAAAAATCCAAATCTGCAACGTCCACGTGGTAGAAGATGGGCAACATCTATCTATAGATGGCCAATGCAGATAGGGACCGAGGGATTGCCGGTATAAGCAATCTTTCACTTACTGACCAACGGCTACGGGTGGATGAGTTGGTAAGTGATAGGGCACTATTTTGTCCTGGTGTTGAGAAATCGACTCCAAAGGCGGATGAACCAAAGAAGTGGTCAACGACAGAAAGATGTAGAATGCAACGAGAAACCACTACATTAAAGATCTTTAAATAGATATCTCTTGTCAATTATCATGGCTATTATAAATGACAAATTCACAACTACTGATCATGGACATCGGATACCAAGATCCGACAGGGGAGGCAATTCTCAGTTAGACCGCGGAGCTTCCCAGGTCGCCAACATCCGAAAACCCCGCGTCAGGCACAAAAATATAAATGAACTGCAAATAGTTACCTGGAATGTGAAGTCTATATATGAAGCAGGGAAGATCCACAATGTAATACATGAGATGAGGCGACTTAAAGTCAATATAATGGGACTACGCGAGACCAGATGGCCTAGATCTGGCGAAATCGAAGTCGACGGTGCCAAAATATACTACTCAGGAAATGAAGATATTCACCACTATAATGGCGTCGCGATAGTGGTTGATCGTAGCTTTTGCCACGCTGTAACTTGTTTTGTTCCTATATCGGATAGAGGGTTAATGATCACAGTCCAAACAGCGCATAGAACTCTTAATATCATACATGTGTACGCCCCACTGCAGATAAGGATGAAAATAAAATAGAAGAGTTCTACACTGACATAAAAAAGCATTAGACAGCACCAATAATAGAGATATAACAATAACAACAGGGGATTTGAATGCCAAATTAGGAAAGGGTAAATTTCAAGACATTATTGGAGAATTCGGACTAAGAATAAGGAACGAAAGAGAGAAAAGACTGACGAGATTCTGTCAAGAGTTTGAAATAATAGACAAATACATTCTTCCAGTTACCACCACGTAGATTATATACATGGAAATCACCTGTGGATAACAAAGAAAAAAATCAGAAACCAGATAGATTATAAAAAGAGGTTAATCTTTGTAAATGGGTATATACATTTAAAAAACCCTTAAAAGGGACACATCAATAAAACAAACGTTTTCGGACCACACAGTCCATCATCAGGTTTTTAAAATCGAAAAATGCCTAAAAATAAGTATAAACCATTTAGTTAAAACAAACGAGATTGTGAAATTTTGACTATGGTTGAAAAGCAAAAGATGGTTATACTTACTAGGTCACAATGCCTGAGCCACCAAAATACTAGGGTAAAAACCCTTTAAATTACATTTAGTTATGAAATATTGTACATTGTGTTGTAAAATAACTGTGATGTTCAGTATTAAATTAAATTTGACTATAGGTAACACATGGCTCAATCGGGTTCCAGAGCCGGTGAGAGGGAACCTCTACACTCGGAGAACAGCGTGGAACTGATTGACAAGAAACTTTTGAAGGATGAAGATAACAGAATGTCAATGCAACAAAAAATATAATAGTTGTACATAGTATTACTACAGCCAAAAGATTCAACAAGTTTTGATGATTTTAAAAAAAATAACAACAATCTAGGTGTTGGGATTTAAAAACTTTTTTATTTATTAATTTAGGGTATAAAAGATGTCAAATCAATGATGGTTTTATAGTCATGATTAATAGAATGACCTGTGCCTTAGGCAACTTATGTTGCTTTTCGTCGTATGGAACGTGGTCTAAAGTGTATTTAATATTGGGTTAGCTTATATATATATATATATATATATATATATATATATATATAATATATATATATATATATATATATATGAAATTTATCCTTTTATGTTTAACACATCTAGGAAAAGTTAAAATAAAATAAAATTAAGTTTAGTAAGATGGAAATCTACAGGCTGAAGAAATTAAAGTAGTAACATATGTGATTGAATTTAAAATTGAAGAGGCTGGGTTCCTCAGAGACTAATGAGAATAAAAGTAAAGGAAATGACTGAAGAAAAGGAGGGGGGGCGGTTGAAGGAGAAAAGGAGTTGATCAACAATTAGAGATATAGAGTATAAAGGACCCCTATTATCTCTATTTGTTGATCAACTCCTTTTCTCCTTCAACCGCCCCCCCCTCCTTTTCTTCAGTCAGGAAAGCGGACTAACGCTTAATGCTAATAATACAAAATTTTAGTAACAAACAAAAACGAACATATTTAGTTTTTTAGGGGATAAAATCACTAGCACTTAAAAAAGATAAAAACATTAATTTAAATATTCTTTAACTTCGTAACTAAATATTGATGTACAATTATTGTTTTCTATGTTTAGACATCTGATATATGAGTCAATAATTTCTCTTTTAATAGTAATCACTCAATGATTATTTATAGCTTCGTTTTATAATCTTCTTGGTATAAAACATATGGTACTGTGAGGAATTTTCTAATTAAATAATTTATTCTGTAGATTCATAAAAAGTGTGTGTAACAAACTGTTGTCATTAAAAGTTATAGATTAACTTAATTATTTTCCTTTAAGCAGGTTAAAAGGACAACAAATGAAAGTTTTTAAAAAAATAAACATTTTGTGGTTAATTTCTGTGTTTATTATAAAAATGTAGAATATCCAATAGCTGTTATTTCATGACCATGCTCGTTCCTCGACTTAATCAATAGTTTAATTCAACCAACTGCTACAATTTCCCACGTGTGATATATCCATTGTCGAAGCAATTAGTCGTCTACAAAGAATTTAGTTGGTTAATACCATTCAATAATGCAAGTAGGGTATTAATATCAGGTATGATTAATACTAAAATTTTATTTTAAACTGATCTATGGGAATTCCATATAGATTAAACCTTGATCTACATAAAGACTGCCATAAAATATTGGTAAACAGAAATATTTGTAAATTTATGAATCATTTTACATTTATTATCACATAGGTACACACTTTTCCTCCAAATATTGTTTCATGGTATATTTTTTAAAATTTTTTAACCTTTAGAAATACTTCTTCATAAAAAAGGTGATATAACCGAGCTTGAGAACTACAGACCGACACGCTTTCTTTGCCACTTGTATAAGCTATCCATCAAAATCATTGCCAAACGTTTGGAAGGTAAATTGGGCTTCTATCAATCAAGAGAACAAGCAGTTTACAAGAAAAGTTAGGGGACAAATGATCGTCTTAGGCAACATAAGTCCTGATAGAAAAGTCTGTGGAAAATAATAGACCCTTAGCTTTCCATAGATTTCATAGATTTCCATAAAGCAGTTGACACAGTATAACTAATATCAATGAAAGCAGCACTGGGAATATAATAAAATACTTATTTATAAGCTTATAGAATACGTATACAGTAATACCAACACAACTGTAAAATTTCGTGAAACAACAGGTAAAATTAAAGTGGGCAGAGGAGTTAGACAAGGCGATAAACAATTTCACCAAAACTTTTTATAACTTTGCTCGAATACGCAATGAGGAATCGATACTGTCTTGAGAGAACAGAGGCATTAATATCGATGGCAAAAAATTAACTTAAAATCGATGAAGCAAAACTTGATGAATTGTTAAAGTCCTCATTGGAGATTGGCGTCCGAATAAATGCAAACAAAACTCAAATAATGACAGAGCAAGTACTTGCACAAAATATTAGAATAGACGACATCGACATACAAGAAAGGCACACGTACAAATCCCTTGGGAGCGAAATAAAAACCTAGAATAGGTTTTGGTGGGCTGCTTTTGAAAAATTACGAATAATATTCTCATATGTCTAAAGCGAAAATTATATAATGCGTGTTACCGGTAATGACATACGGGGCGAAAACATTAACATTAACAAAACACGTAGCGGAAAATTTAATAGAAGCCACAGAGCTATGGAAAGAGTCACACTTGGAATCACTAAAAGCGACAGACTATTCAATAACCTAATCAGATAAAGAATACGGGCCAAAGACATAGTAAACACGTAACTGCAATGAAATGGAGATGGGCAGATCATATGGCGATAACGTCTAATGAAAAATGGACTAAAAGAATATTAGAACGATGTTTACAAGCAGACAAACGAGATCGCGACGTATAAAGAATTGCTAGGCTGTTGATAGTAAAGAATTGAGAGACATGGAGGATCTTGGAAGAAGTCTAGGAGCACCACGATGATGATGATGTAAATGAGTGTAACTATAGTTAAAGCAGGTATATAAATAATTTAGACATCGTTTAATTAGAACCTTTATTTGGTAAAATTTTATCGTGACGAAAGCTTTCGTATCAACTTAAACGTATATATATTACAGGATCCAACTTGTAAATACAATACATTTTGTAGATGGCTATTGCGCCGTATTCCCGTTCTCCTCCGCCAATCCTCCCAGTCCACGGCATGCTCCTTCTCCAAATCTCTCGATTCCATCGCTCTTCTAATTCGTTCATTCCATGAGCGTCGATGTCTACCTCTTTTTCTTCTTCCAGGGGGCTTCCATCTGTGAAGTTTTTGGGGCCACATAATACTTTTGTAGATAAATCTCAGCACCAACAATGATATTTTCATTTCTAAAAATCAAAGATGCAGAATCTATACAATCAGTAAGAAGTTTGCTGCAACAGAGGAGCTGTTGAAGACGATTTTTTGTATTTCCAGAAAATAATGCGAATCTTCGTGTGACTATAACAGGTAACTTGCTCAGGACATAATTGTTAAAACTGGTCTACAATTAATAAAGAAGAATATGAAGTCGATTAAGATGTATTACCCACCCATATCTGGGAGAAAACCCCCTATCCGCCACCAGGGGAGGGGCGATGGGGGACTATACCCCACGCGGGCGTTTGAAACTATTCAACAGAACTCTATTGAATAGTTTATATAAATGTTGGAGAAGGCTTATAGCTATAGCTCTATAGTTTTGGATTATCATAGTCTCTTTTTTATAGATTATTATTAAACTAAGCTTTAAGACAGAGAACTTTTTGAAAATGTAACTAGGAGTATTGCAAAACAGTATCTGGAATTTTAGGAATTTAACCCAATATGTCGCATGCATATAAAATATGGTGACTCTTAAGAAGATTGGTACTGTGAGTCAGATTATATTTATTCCCTATATAGTGCTAAGGAACTGTACGAAATATTACTCATAGATATTTATATAAAAAAATGAGTATCAACACTTCCAACGTATTTTTACTCAACCTCATTTGCTATGATTTGTTATTTAAAAATAAAAACAAGCGTATCCTTGAAATGTCGCTTCCTTTTTATAAATACCTACATAATAATATATTTATTACCGTAACACAATAGATTTTTGCCCATCACTTTTTTAAATAATTACACAACAATACTGATTCACTTTAATGATTTACTTACGAACGACCAATTGTTTAGGAGCAATCAACAACAAAAATTAACATATAGGCCGAAGACAATGAGCAAAGTAATATGAATATTATTAGTCTTGTGCAATACCTACAAGAAGTCTACGCCTAAATACTTAAATATACCTATTAAACTTTCTTCTATCTTTTCGATCTTCGACAGGCATTCAAATATAATACACCTTTGTGGAGTGTGTCTTTCTCAATTTTACAATTTAAATGGAATTCCAAGGGCGTTTCAAAATATGGGAGTTCCTAAATGAGATGCTACATCACTAAGAAGGAGCGTGCATACAAAATAGAGAATTATGAATATAAATGGTAATGTAGGAATATGACTTGAATTTTAAGAAAGTGCATACCATGACTATTTTTCTCTGAATATATTTATATTAAAAGAAATTAAAATGAGTACAAAGTGGCCTTTGTTAATTTTATAGGATAATACCTTCTTAAATAATACATTTAGTTAAATAAGAATTACGTCTAGAATTATGAATTAGCTCCTGAAAGGTGTAGTTTCCTGTAGTTTCGTTGGTATATGGAGCATACCAGGATGGAGCTTGAGCAAAATGGAAGAAATCCTCACAGAATGTACTATTTTTATTGAGAGTAAGCCACAATTGTACTTTAAAATAAATTTGTTTTGGCATTCATTCATTCAGCATTCATTCGGCTTCCATTTCGGAAATCAACGATTCCATACAGTAGAGTTAAACACAAATGTGGTCAACAAATACCCAAATAAGCAGTCAAAGGCAAATAAAGTAAAATACCATAAGCCTGCATACCGATTCAACTTCATTTCTTTACAAATTAAGATTAAGCAATTACTAAAGGACATTCCCTACTCTACTGCAAAAAACATAGAAAAGAAGTATCCAATATGGTGGACAAGAGAAATAGATAATTAGTGAAAGAGAATAGAAGACTTTTCGAGACGTGGTCCTCAACAAATAACCCAGTGCATAGAAAATGTAATGTAAAAGCCCATAGGGAAGTAAAGAGACCAACTAATAGAGAAAAGAACAAAACGTGGTAAAGAAAATGTGATAAAATAGATATATGACCTCAACAAAGTCTAGAGAAGTATGAAAAACCATCAAAAACCTTAGCACTGATCGAAGGGACGTGAAGCATCTAAAAATTATAAACATGTGCAAATGGGATGATCACTACCAAACATTATTATAGGAAGAGAGAGTACATTACTTACTAGAACCCGACAAGTGAGAGTTTAACGACAGCACTAAAGAAGAAAATGACGCGATCTTAACAGATGAAGTCAAAAAAGTGATACGATGTTTAAAAAACAACAAAGTACGTTGTCGGGAGATGTCACATTCTGTAACAATTATACTGTACAGGACTGTAACAATTATAGAGGACCAAGCGTAACGAACTCACTATCGCGGGTAAATGGCAAGATTATTAAGAATAGAATAGAAAGGGAAATGAAAGATGTTGAAGAACAAAATGACTTGTGGTGTTTGTAGACTTGTTATTTACTGCTAACTCATAGTTAGGTTTATTTATTAAGTATAGAAAAAAAAATTTGCATAATGCTATAGTTACCTGTAAACAATTGTTTGGTGCATACTTTCCCGCAGGGACTCTTGCAACAAACAGCATCCACAGAACAGTCGTCATCGTCAGTACAGTTTTCAGCTCTTAAGGGACACTCTGTTAACATTGGGCATTTTGAGGTTAGGTCTGATCTGGAATCTAAAATAAATATAGTTTTTATTTATTCAATAACACTTTATTAAAAATGCATATTGGATATTACATAGGAATAAGTAAAAATTTAATTTTTAGTCATTACACCAAAACATCAATATACACCGCTTTTCGTCCAATACATTGAATAGTTCTTAATACATTCTCGTAATATTTTATTATAATTAATGAAATTTTGTGCCATGCCTAGTAAATTAATCTCTCCAAATGATTTACATCTTAAAAAGAACTTTGCTGGGAAACTTTTGGTTTTAAGTAACTTCATAAGAAATAATTCTGAGAGATTCTCTGAATTCAAGTCAGGAAAACTAGCAGGCCAAAAAAGATCGGCGTTTCTGTGACTCCCTTTTTCATTAAACACGTGTTAAAGATATTCTCTAACACTTAATTTACTGTGGAACGAGGTACCGTGTTATTGAAACCAAATACATTGGCGTTTTTGTAAGGGTAATTCGTCCGTAAAGTCAGTGATGTGGCTTTGTAAAAGTTTTAAATAACGCTCAGGTAGCATGTATTGGTGGAATGAATGCGGTCCAATTAATATTTTTTATAAAGATCACATCACACGTTCGTTTTAAATAATTATTGGTTATTATTATAAAAATGGGAATTTTTTTCAGACTGCCAACAACAATGTTGTGACAAGACAGTTCAATTTGAAAAAAATTTTGCCTTATCCAAAAAAAAATATACGTCTTATAAAAAAGAGCCGTCTTCTAATTCTCATTGTATCAGAGGGCATAATTTAAATCGTCTTCTAATTCCCTTCTTGTAATATATGAATGAATTGTAGTTTATATGGTCTATATTAAAATCTTAACCAACCTAACCTAACCTAACTAACTAAACACAACTAATTAAGATTAAATATGTTAATGGGTGTATATTATTCAGATAAAATATATAAGTTCCTTCCTGGACTGTGAGATAAGTTTAATACTATGCCCTACGGGCCTCGGTATGTCACCTCACAATCTAGAAAGGGAACTTAACCTAACCTAACCAAACCTTACCTAACCTAAGCACAACTTATTAAGATAAGATATATTAATGGTTGTATATTATTAAGATCAAATATTTGAGTTCCCTTTCTGGATTGTGAGATGAACCTACCGATGCCCGTAGAACTCGAGCCAAAAGGGCTTGCTACCTGCTAAAACCACCACCACCGTATTCTCCAGAGAACGCCAAACGGAGCCATCCATGTGTGGATATAACATCTCTTTTTCGCCTCCCAGACTTATTCGCTCACCTCTTTGCAGGAATTTCCTTGCTCTATGAAACAATCTGCAAGGTATCAATAAGGTGTACCCCTGACGGGTACATATTCACAACTCTCTACTATAAAAGAAACACTCGACACCTTGGAAAAAACCACGCACGCTCGAAGTCCTTACTCTCTACAAACACTCTGGGTATATGCCCAGATTTAACTGGGCAATACCCCTCTCTGGTTACATGCACACACACGGACAGGACAACATCTGTATCTTGCAACAACTTAGGCAAATATATTAAGAACAATAAGAGCCAAAAGAAAAAGTAATTACACAGCGGTGTATACAAACTCTAATGTAGCGACTGCCAAAAAACTTACAGCGGTCAAACTGGTAGAACTTTTATCAAACGTATAGCAGAACATAAAAGGGCTTTTAATAATAGAAAAACAGATTTTACTTACGCAGTTCACCTTCTTGAGCATAATCATTCTTTTAATGCCGGGCCTTTTCGCAACCTATCCCAACTTCATCTTAACAAAACTAATTAAGATAAAATATATTAGTGAGTCTTACAAGCTTGCTCCTACGGAGCAAGACACACGACGTACGCTATACGATCGTAGGTTAGGTTAGGTTATGTATACAACATTTATACCGTTTTTGAAATGTAGAACACTTTACGTTTTTGTACTCGCTTCGGTGGTACTTATACAACAATTAAAATAATAGATAACTTTAAAGTAGATAATAATAGTAACAGGGTCCCCATGCAGGGTCGATACTGATAATCGTGCTATTTTTTTGTTTGCCTTATATTTTAAGACTTCGACTATAATAGAACTAGGCTTAGGTAGGTAAATTTGGCTAACAAAAGAAAATAAATGCACCAGGTAATAAAAATGCAAATTTTTTCTAATTAGTCTGATTGAATTATGAATATTTAATATTACATGCCTATTTAACCGTGAAAAAATTTGATCGATCTGAAATATCTACTTTTCAATGTTTTTTTCTAACAAAAACAAGTTGATTTTTTTAATGATTAGCTTATTAACGCAAAAAATAATTTAATTAAAAATAATATCCATCGTTTTTTTAACCTTCGATTTGAAAAAATTCTTTCGCTCTTAAAAATATGAATAGCTCAATAACAGTTATTCACGGCCTGGTCCCACGTTAAATTTTACGAGATAAGTGGGTTATTTATGAATAATTTTGACTTATTGTTCTCTTTTAATGGACTTTTTTTATGATTATGTTTTACCGATTTAAAGAACAGTAAATCTTTTGTTTTGGGATGTCAAGGCATTTGTTGATGATCTTTATGGATCAATGAAATTTTTAAACTCTGGTGGTCGAGGTTTATTTCATTATTGTAGTGCAAATTCTTTTTTTTTTTCGAATTTCTTCTTACACTTTTAGTTGATACCTTGTCTTTGTTTTCACTTTATGTATTCTATTAATTGTTTGAGTCATACCTCTTCCGTCTTAATACTAAATTGTGTTACAATTAAATATTCATCTGGAATATCTGCCAGTTTATTGGAAGGCGGACGAATTGCAAATTTTACCTTGAAATTACAATTGACATGCAAATTAATGAAACACCAAATTGCAACATCAACCATTACCAAATATTACTCAGTCGTAAAAATTTCGACCAATTCATTCCTTTTCCTCGACTTTTCCTGATATTACAAGACAAAGTAGATCGTATTCATGTCTTTTAATTATTTTACCGAAATATTCTGGTTTATTATAAGATGCCTAAAATCAACCTCTGTTGATAACATCTACCACTTAGCTGGAATCACTCTACCGGGAGTTCATCGGAAAATAGCCACCTAAAAATACAAAATAAAGTCGAAGTCTGAATACTCTCTATGTGGTTAGCAACCGGCTCCACATACGCTAAAATGACGGTTTAGTTTTCTCAAAGCAAACGAAGACTACACGCATTAAGCTACCTCAAAATCGGAGAGATGGATGGCATCAAAAGATTATCAGTGGATGGCAGCATAAGAAGAAGAGATAGACTACAGGCTGGGGCTGCCAGATGTAAAGGCAATCTCCAGAGATGCACATGGTATATTTATGTTATGTATTGTATTGATTCTTTGTTTTTATTTTAGCGAAAGGAGATTGCTCTACGATGTAATAAGACTATATATTTTCGGAAAATTAAAAAAATATAGGAATATACTTTATTAACAAAAATTGGACTGTAATTTCGTAAAATGACAAGGAAGTTAAACTTCTTTTGATGTGTCTCTAATACAATTTGTTGTTGTATTGTTAGTTTATTGACCATATCGAATTAATTAACCATATTCACGGTTTATAAGCCGTATGAAAATTTATTAACCATTTGAGGACCTAACCACAGGACTTAACTATACTTAATCAGTAGGCTACATCCACATGTTACAACTACAGCTCTCCGGAGGACTTCTTCTTCTTAAGGTGACTTTTCCATTACTGAAGGTTGCTCTCTATCTTGAGCTGTTCTTAGTATTGAATGTGTGTCCATGCCTGTCCAGTCTCTTATATTCTTCAACCTGGAGCATTTTCTTCTTTCTGGATCTCTTCTTTCTTCCACTTTCCCTTCCATTATAAGTCGTAGGAAGTTGTATTTTTCTCCTCTGTAAATATGTCGTAGATAACTCGTTTTTCTGTTTTTTACAATATTCAGGAGTTCTCTCTCAGTTTGTAACCTCGGAAATCTTTTTTGGATGATGCTAGAAAGATAACCAATGGAGACACTGCGGACGGCAGCCAGATGGTTGGTGGAGAGCGAGCCGTGGGTTCGAAACTAGCTTTTGGATCCGGGATTGGGTCCAAAGGACGAAATAAGTAAAGATAGGATAAGATATATTAGAAAATATTAACACGGCGGTAAAAGAAATTAAAAATAATTAATATTTTAATAATAAAAAAAATGTTACAAGTTCCCATTTTTCTTAGCACCTCGTTGTTGGTCACGTACTCTGTAAAAGAGATTTTCAGTATCCTTCGAAAAACACACATGTCAAAGGCTTCTATACGCCTCATACTTGTAATTCCGAGAGTCCATGTTTCCACTCCGTATCAGGATATGGAATAAATAAACGTTTTTACAAATTGGTATCGGATATCCAACGATAACGTAGAGTTTATTAGGAATTTTTTCATTCGTTGAAATGCGGACCTAGCATATTCTATACGAGCACGTATTTCGACCTCGTGGTTAAGATCTTTTGTTATCCAGCAACCAAGATACTAAAATCTTTGTACTCCGGAGGACATAACATCTAATTGGGAGGACATACAAGCAGCTCATCGACACAGTGTGGTGACACAAAAATAAATTTTTTTTTTTAACATTTTGCTTATTTTTTAATTAAACGATATGTTTTGCATTTCAAATAATTATTTTCCTATTACAACTAGTTGTTGTAATAGTTATAATTAGGCACCTCGAAGAGGCACCCTATATTAAATTACTAGAGGTGTTTCCTGTTTCCTGTTTCTTTTTGTTTTGTTTGTTCCAGAAGATTTATGTAAGTATCCCTTTGTTTCATTTTGTAGTTACCCTAATCTGACCCCTTTGTATTCAACTTATTCACGACCCAGCTCTCCAATAAACCCCTGAGTGCCACACGCACAAGTATCGATTATTTTGCTTCCCTATCTTTACCCCCAGTCTTTCTGTCCCCAATTTTCTACCCCCATAATCTTACCCTAAGGTAGACAAAATATATCGTTACAATTTTATACCACACACTA